AAAAAAAAAAAAAAAAAAAACCCAAGTAAAAAAAGAAACAAAGAGGCAAAACCACAAAAGAAGAGCAAAAGGAAAAAACCATGTGATAACCCACTGAAAGAAGCTGAGGAACCAGTTATTGTCACCTTGATAGACAAATCATATTCTTCAATTAATTTAGCTATTTGTGAAAGCAACAATTGATGTGCTTCAATCTCTCTTCTCTTGTTCTGGAAAGGATTGCGAGCCAGCCGACCATCATGTTGTTCAGCTTCCTTTGCCAAAGCATTTAATTCTGTAGATTAAGATCAGAAACTTTTTATGAAAACCATTCTGAATTAGAGGAAGGAATATCATCTCCTAGACCATTTCAATATACAAAAAGATACAAATATGTTTCACAACCTTGCTGGGAATCAGAACTCATAATGCGACCAAATGCACGAAGTGATTGTGGGATACCCCTCCCTCTTCTACTGGCAGCCGGCACTTCCCTGCACATTTATTAGAACTCATTTGAAAAATTAAGTGATTACCCAAGTAAAAGATTTCATATGTAAAGCAAACAATCATTGAAATATATACAACCACTCCTCTCTGTTTCCGATGCAGGTTTTTAGCATCCTTGCGTTTTTAAGCAGAATTGAAGCATGAAAAAAGTAAGATTCTTCATATTCTAAAAGGAGATCAGGTTGAAAATAAAGTCTGTAAAATATCGTGCGGCAAAATGAAACAGAACTTCAATACAAAGAAGAGTCGACAAACAAAAATATGGAAACACAGAGGTAAACGATTACCTTTATACTGATTGTACAAGTAATTAATTCTTTAGTCATTATTTCTATAAAAGAAATTTAAGTAAATAAATTTATGATGCTGAAAGGGGAAAAACTCCCACAGCACACTAGTTACTGGTTTATAGCTCTAATCTCAAAGCTCTCCAAAAAGCTCATCCAAAAATCTATACAAGTTGAAATGGATAATAAATTTCAAACAAATTAAAGAATTATGAGATTTCATGTTACCAAAAACTAGAGAGAGGAACA